CATTTCCTCTTGTCTGGTAATGTTTGTTAAAACTACAGTCTCAGCTGTTAGGAATTAGTGAGCCTTTGTAAAAAAATAAAACTACCTAATTTCCAGACTACTGAGCGCACCTGAATATAAGCCGCACCAACTAAATTTAAAAAGAAAAAAAAAATGTACATATATAAGCGGCACTTGTCTATAAGCCGCAGGTGTCCACGTTGTAAAGGAATTTTTCACAGAAAGATGGTACACAGAAAGATTTTTATAATGTTAATTAAATAAATGCTGCCGTCTCCAACGCCTCACCATTGATTCATTGATGCAAGCTACGTGCAGCAGCTCTATTCCTTCTTCGACAGCCAGATGGATTGCCTTTAACTTAAAAGCGCATCATGTGCATTTTTCTTGTGTTTTCCTGATGAGGGTGTTGCATGATGCGCAAAATGACTGAATGAATTGAATGAATTCAAACTGAATGAATTCAAAACACAATCAAACTAGGTCTTCCTCGGCGCATTATCTCTTCCACCTGTCTGTCTCGCTCTTGGCCTTCCTGCTAGAGCGCCCCCGGAGACGTAAGCCCGTAAAAATCTTTAAATTAAACCGCATCATTGTTTAAGCGCACGTTCAAAGCGTGTGAAAAAAGTAGCGGCTTATAGTCCGGGAATTGCGGTAATATCTGTGAGCTGTTCTTAAGATTTGTGTCTTCAGTAGGCCAACCCATGGGCTTAGGCTGAGAGCCACAGACAATTTAGTAAATGTAAATGGTAAAGGACCTGTACTTGTATAGCGCCTTCTAGTCTTCAACCACTCAAAGCGCTTTTACCTACGTGGCCACATTCACCATTTACACACATTCAACCAATTGCAAAGCCCATCAAACAGAACGCATCCGTACACATTCACCACCGATGCACAACAAGAGCAATTTTTTTTTTCCCGATCCCCATTTAATATCTGTTGATACTGAGTACTAATTAGTACAGAATTTGTTATTTCAGTGCAGCCTTTACCTGAGTACCTGAATGAACTGTATTCTCTGTGTTTATTTCCTCGTCTCTACATCTTTTGCATGGATTACATTAATAAATAAGTTTTATTTGCTTTCTGTTGGTGGCCTTTTGTTGTACTTGCAGTGCGTTGTGAGATGCAGCTCTCTCTGTCTCGCCTCTGACCTGCCCACACACACAGCATACGACAGAGACACAGAAGCAGATTTGTGAAAGAAACCTGTGCATGAAAGGTTTTGACATGTTCTTCTTCCTGTGGCTTTTAATGCCTGAATACATGTAGCCGGTAGGCCTTATTGTTCATCGTCAATATCATGTCAGCATTCAAGTGCAATGAAAAGCAGTACAAATCCAAAGTGTTTACTTTCAATTCTTGCCAGTCACTTTACAAGTCCAAAGCAGTCCAGCGTTTTGGCAGCAGTTTTGGGCCTGAACCTGACACGGCCTGCTGGGTTCGGGTCAAGTTCAGGCCCAAAACTGCTGAAATTGGGTTCGGCAGAGAATCATAGCTCTTCTTAAAAGGGGCTTTGTTTCTGTTTCCAATGCATTACCGACCCAATGTCCTTGCT